CAGAGTGTACTTTGTATTGTTTTTTGACCGGGATGGTGGGGCGGGGTCGCATCGGGTTGGCCGCGCATGCTCCAAATGTGGAGGCAGAGTGCGTTTTGTCTTGTTTTTTGACGGATGGTGCGGGGTGCCCTCATGGTTCCTGGTTGGCCGCCGGTCGCCTGGAGGAGGGGGTGTATATGAATAGGGAACAATGATAAACCCTTCACCGAAGGGGAAGAAGGGTTCTCGAAGAGGAAATCACATCGTTAGACCACCTGCGCCCAGAGGGCTGGTGGGATCGTGACACAACTTGATACTGTGATTGGAGCGCGCTCCCACCTCACAAACTGAAGGCGCTCGCGCGCGGCCCCGCTTCCAACGACCTGGCGAAGCGTGGGCAGCGCAAGGGCCGGGGCGGCCGAGCTTCCACTGGGCGCAGCGACGACGAAATATGCTCCGCGTCGACAGCATTGCCGCTTCCATTCGCACAACGCGCGACGCTCGGGCGAGGTCGGCATTTTTCGCTCGATCCGGGGCGCTCCCGCTGCCGCCATCACTGTCGTGCGCCTCGGCGGACGAGCTTTGCGCCGCTCCCGCGCTGGAGCTCGAGCTCCGGCCCAGAGGCGCGCGAGGGCAGCCAGTCGCCCCTGCGCAGTGGCCTCCCAACAGTGGCGAGTACCGACTGTGCGCCGCGCCGGGGCGGGAGCGCCACTTTCAGGGCGAAGTCCTGCGCGGCGTCGGGGCGAGAGCAGCACTGTCGCCCGCTCGCGCGGCGACGGAGTGGCGTGCGACAGGTGCGCGCCCCGCCCGAACGGACAGTCAGTTTTCTTCAAACCATTGAGGGCGTCGCCGAGGCGAGGGCGACGTTTCGGCCATTCGCGCGGCATGTGGGCCTCGTCCCGTTCTTGCCACGCGTTTTTGCAACATGGGCGACACGCAGTCCACGTCTCGACGCAACAGATCGGTTGTGTATTGTTTTCTGACGAATAGAATGTGACCGCCCGGCTTGGGCGATTATCGGCTGGCAAAGGACCATAGTCGGAGTATACGGTTACCAGGGGAAGATAATGGTGATGATGATGACGATGATGATGGTGATGATGATGCTGCTGCTGCTGATGATGGTGATGATCGTGATGACGGTGATGATGGTAATGATGGTGATGATGATGAGGAGGAGGAGAAGGAGGAGGGCGAGCAGAAAGGCCAGAGGCCTCTTGGATGCCTCGTGGAGTCTTTTCGGATTTCGTTCGGAAGTTTCTTGGAGTCCCCTTGGGGCGTTTTGGGAGTCTCTTGGCAGCCCCGAAGGGCTCTTGGGGCGTCTTGGGTGCCTCTGGGGTGCCTCTGGGGGGCCTCTTGGAGCCTCTTGGAGGTCACCTGGCATCCTCTAGCGGGCATCTTGGGGACTTCTTGGGGGCCTCTTTAGGCCTCCTGGGCACCTCTTTGGGCCGTCTTGGGACTTCCTTGGGAGCCTCGGGGGCCAACGTGGCGCCATCTTGGGATGGATCGATCAAAGGAGGGGGGCTCCTTGCTTAGGGTCCCCCCCCCAAGAGGCCAAACTGTGGCCAAAACCTTGTTATAAAAATCAATGATTTGGACCTTCTCGCCGAGGTCTCTTGGGGCGTCTTGGGTGCCTCTGGGAGGCCTCTTGGAGCCTCTTGGGGGTCTCTTGGGAGCCTGTTGGGGGCCTCGTGGGGGCCTCGTGGGGGCCTCTTGGGGGCCTTTTGGGGCCGCCTGGGCGCCTTTTGGGACCCTCTTGGGGCACTCGTGGGGGCCTCGGGGGCCAACTTGGGGCCATCTAGGAAGAGATCGATCAAATGATGGGGGCTCCTTCATCAGGGTCACCCCCCCGGAGGCCAACATGTGGCCAGCGTTCTCGTCGAGGCCACTTGCGGCGTCTTCGGTACATCTGGGTCTCTTGGGAGCCTCCTTGGGGCATTAGGCACCTCTTGAAGCCATCTTGGGGCACCCTTGGGAGCTTTTGGAGCCATCTTTGGGCCATCTTGGAGGAGATCGATCAACGGAGGGGAGCTCCCCCATTAGGCCCCCTCCCCAGGAGGACAACATGTGGCCCAAACCTTGTACAATCCATGATTTTGGCTTCCGCGTCGAGGCCAAGAAAGACGCTCCAACGTCTCGCGGAACCCCCCGTCCAATCCCATGGGGAGGGGGTAGGGGGAGGGGTCAAGACACCCTCCCAGACAGCAAGCGGTCTAGCTCACTCCCACCCGCCCTCCCAACACATAAATCAACACCCGAGCTTTAGCATGTTCAGCGGTCGTCTTTGAATGGGCAACTATTGGGAATCATAACCGAGCCCATGTGCGCGACGCTGAGGCGAGGTGCGCCACGCGTGCCAGGCGCACCACGCGCGCCAGGCACCCCTGGGGCCCGAGCGTGCCAGGAACGCCTGGTGCGCCAGATGCCCTGCGTGCCTCCGCGTGCGCCAGGTGTGCTTACCGCATACTCCAGCCGCGCCAGATGCGCCACGTTCGGGGCACGTGCAGAGTGTGTCAGGTGTGCCTGCGCACGTGACAACACACATCGGGCAACATGTCGGCCCCCACCATCCTTGTCGAACAGGTGGGCCTGCGCACAGCAGGCCATACGCCATCACGTGACTGATCGCGGGGTGGCCGCACATGATCCAGATGTAGCCGTGAGGTGCATTTTTTTTTTTTTTTGTTTTTTTTGTCAGGGAATATGCTGATATCCCCGCCGCCCCTGTTCAAAAACAATACAAAGTGGTCGCGGGCCTCACAAACATGACTCCAGATTTCGCCCCAAAGTGTATTTTGTATGGTTTTTTGACAGGGATTGTGGGGGGGTCGCTCAGGGGTCCTCATTGTTCCTTGTTGGCTGCCGGTCGCCTGGGTGAGGGGGTGTGTATTAATAGGGAACTGTGATCAACCCCTCCCCCTGCACAAAGGGGAAAAAGGGACGATGGAAGAAGAATTGCTCTTAACCACTCGCGCTCAGAGGGCTAGTGGCGCTAATGCTCACTAGTGAGTTGTCAACGCCTCTGCTCGCGCAGAGATCCCACCCACCCACCCGCAGATTGGCTTGCAAAACCCACGCGGAGGCGATTGTAATGACTGCTTGGCGCTGGCTGGCGCATCGCTGCGGCCAAGCTGGCGCGCGCAGGCTCGCGCGCAGAGCGGCTAGCTTGGCTTGCGCGACCGTCGCGGCCGCGGTGGCGCTTACCGCTGGGGATTTCCCAGCGCGTCTCGCAGGCCGCGCTAACGCGCGGGCACTTCAGTGTGAGTCGGTGGCCTGGGCGAGCGCGGCATCATGGCGACGCCGAAAACAGCAGACGATAATGATAGTAGCGATGCTGGCGATGATGGTGATGATGGGAAAGTCAACGCCAATGACGGCACTGAGGTTGTAAACCCCGATGACGATGATGGTGCCCACGTGTCGGTGATGAAGGTTTTTGAAGGATTTCGACATGTGTGCGCGGCAAGCGGGCGCGAGTGGCCCGCATGGGTTTTCTTTGTCAGGGACCGTGCCCCCCCAAAGCAAACGCGGAAGGGTATTCGAATGATATCGACATGCGTGCGCGAGAGGCCCGATTAGTCGCATGTGATGAACATGGTGGAGCACATACAGTCTGCGAAAGCATTTGCGACAGCGCGCGTGATTTTCGTCGTTGCGGTTGTTTTTGGTGTTGTCTATGAAGCATCATTTGCTCAACCATTGGTTTTTTGGTTCATATTTTTGGGGCCCAGATCTTGGAATACTCACTAAACTTATGCCTTAAACCAGGGTTCTGGCATGCGCGCGCGCGACGTCGCGCGTGTGTGATTTGGTTTCGTTTCTCACTGTTGAATTTTGATCAACGGGTGTGCGCGCGTAGTATTACTTGTACAGATGAGGGGAGCGCGATTGAGGGTTCAGCGGGGATGTGGCGAACTCGTATTGAGAGTGAACGATGGGGCTGGTTCGTATGTGAACCGTACTAGCCCAGGGAGGGCCGATAAAAGGCGTCTGTGCGTGGTAGATCCTAAGTTCAGCCGCCAGACCGACCGTCGGGCCCAGGCGGCGGAGGGCGATGAGGCGGCGACGGGGCGGCGGCGGCAACTACATAGCCACCAGACCGGCCCGCAGGCTCACACCACGGGCGGCGACGAGGCGGCGACAGCAACCACATAGCCGCCAGGTCGGCCCGCAGGCTCAGACTACGGGCGGCGACGAGGCGGCTACGATGCGGCGACGGCAACTACATAGCTGCCAGACCGGCCCGCAAGAACCCATGCGTGCAAACACGGTTTGGGAATTCTTTCTGAGTTCCTCCCGTCATCCTTCCTCCCTCTGTTGCCTCCCTCCACTATTCAAGCCCCCCTCTGTCTCTGTCTAGCACATACATGTACTTCGATACCCTTCTCTATGTCTTTCTGTGCTCCCCTCACATCTCTCTCTCTCTCTCTCTCTTCTCCCATTGATCTCTAACTATTTTCCCTTCTCTTTCCCTTTCTCGGTGAGCAGGGGGAGTGGGCGGAAGAGGGTCAGGATGTGTATGATGATGCAGCGGATGATGCCGCTGATGCTGATGCAAATGCTGATGCTGATGGTGATATTGATGATGATGCTGCTGCTGCTGCTGATGATGATGGTGATGGTGACGGTGATGGTCATGGCGATGATGATGATGATGATGATGATGATGATGATGATGATGATGATGATGATGATGATGATGATGATGGTGCTTATGGTGATGATACTGATGGTGCTTATGGTGATGATGATGATGGTGGTGCTGATGATGCTAATCATGAGGATCATGACGTTGCTGCTGATGATGATGACGACGATGGTATTGATGCTGATGATGATGATTTTGGTGATGACGATGCTGCTGATGACGATGATGATGCTACTGATGATGATGATGGTGATGATGATGATGATGCTGCTGCTGATGATGATGATGATGATGATGATGATGATGATGATGATGCTGATGATGCTGATGATGATGATGATGATGATGATGATGATGATGATGATGATGATGATGATGATGATGATGATGATGATGTCCGGAGCCCATTTGGGCTCAAGCAAAACGAACAGGTCCGTAAAGCTGCCGATATCGAACTGCGCTTTCATCAACATATTGCGTACAGCTTCCACCTCCAGAGCACGAATGGCGGATTTCCATGTGGCATTATGCATGATGGGGTTTGTAGCTGCTGTTTCCAGCGAGCACGCAGACATGCAGCTTATGCAGATGCAACAGGCTGGCGTGTTGCACGGCAGTGGAATCTGGATGCCGCAGCAGGGTTGCCACACCTCGGTTGAGGGTGATGAGTGTTTCGACAAGGTCATGTGGGCGATGCGGACGGGCATCCAGCAGCACCCAGAGTACTACCTTCCTCTGACGAGAAATTCCAGCTTCGAGGACTTCCAGCAACACTTGCACGGCACAGCCAGGCTCTCCGGCGTGTGCCCCAAGCCATGTGCAGCGCCGAAGTCAGAGGAGCAAGCGCCTGCACCGGCAGCGGAGTGCCGCACCAGCGTCACGGGCGACGAGTGTTTCGACAAGGTCATGTGGGCGATGCGGACGGGCATCCAGCAGCACCCAGAGTACTATCGCCCTCTGACGAGAAATTCCAGCTTCGAGGACTTCCAGCAACACTTGCACGGCACAGCCAGGCTCTCCGGCGTGTGCCCCAAGCCATGTGCAGCGCCGAAGTCAGAGGAGCAAGCGCTTGCACCGGCAGCGGAGTGCCGCACCAGCGTCACGGGCGACGAGTGTTTCGACAAGGTCATGTGGGCGATGCGGACGGGCATCCAGCAGCACCCAGAGTACTATCGCCCTCTGACGAGAAATTCCAGCTTCGAGGACTTCCAGCAACACCTGCACGGCACAGCCAGGCTCTCCGGCGTGTGCCCCAAGCCATGTGCAGCTGCAGCGCCGAAGTCACAGCAGCGAGCTGAGCAGCAGGTCGGAACTCCAGCGCCAACAGTAATCCAATTGGATGACCTACTCGTTTCAACCTACCCTGGATACGTGCAAAGCGGCCAAAATTGCGAGTGCGGAGCAGAGATCAAAGCCTATTCGGAAGAGTTCGAGACTCTCGAGTTATGTGCCTCGGAGTGTTCCTTGTACCCAAACTGCAAGTCCATTGGTCTTCACCCCTTCCTGTCAGTCTGGAAAGGCGGGTGCTATCTTTACGATGCAGAGTGTGGGTCAACGAATGGGCATGACTCCAACACCACCTGTGCCAATCCAATCCCGCAAGGAGCCCTTAGTGTCAACTTCAACAGGATACCGACCCCTGCGCCCACTCCTGCACCTACGTCTTCAGTTGAGCCGTGCGACGTCACCGATGGATCGTCTCCGAGCTCTTTCTACCCGTGTCAGTGCGGGCCTGACATGTGCGTTACAAACGAGGTCTGCTCAGGTGACAGGCGAGGCTTTTCGTGTTCTCCTCCGGGCATTCTGAAGGTAGAGTGGCCGTGCCTGACGACTTCTATCGGCAGCCCTTACTTCGTGTTTTACGGGAGCAGTGCAAGCGGAGCGCCAGTGTACAGCAACACCGACGGCAATTACATATATTGGGACTATTCGTGTGATGGCATCGACCGGCCTCTGAAGTACGCACAGCCGCGGTGGATTCTGGACTCTGAAGAACCAAACATGACAGCAACTATGGATTTAGATTCTGATGCGGGCTGCGCTTATTTCGGGCATCATGGTAGTTCAGATTCTAATGGTGTCCCATTGGGGAACACAACTTGGTTGGTGGCATGCGACGGCCAAGGCCTCAACATGACGGTGACGATCACTTACGAGGAGATCCTCCCGACTCCGTCGCCGACGATGGAGCCCGGGGCACCGTGCGTTTGTGACGACGCGTGCGGCTCGTTTTCTTACCTTGATTTGGATGGTGATGAGTGCCTTGTGGAAGCGGAGGTGAACAAGGACGAGAATCTCAACGGGCACTTTACCGAGATGGACGAGAACGGGGATGGATGCGTGACCCAGGCAGAGTGTGGCAATTCTCCATACTCGAAAGACATGTCTAGGTTCCCAATCGGGGGTCCCGCTGAGTGTGACTACGGATACTACTTTCTGGAGGGCACCAGCGTCTGCCAGCAGTGCACCACGGGCTCCACTCGGCGACGCCGCTCGGAGGCATGCACTGACTGCGCCCCTGGCAAAGAAGACCTGGGCGACTTCGACAACTGCATCTCGGGGGTATGGCTCACCGAGCCCATATCAACTGGGTCCGACGTCGTCTTCGTCAACAAGGCCCTCGACGACAGCGGCCGCGTGCTGCAGAAGGGCGACGGGATCACCATGTCCACACGCAACCCTGGGCACTTCGAGAGACTGGTCATCACCGACAAGATCGGCTTCGATGACAGCGAGAGGCTGTCGCCATACCACGAGTCTCTGCTCCGCAGAGGTGGGCCCTTCTTTATCCTCGACCACGGAGTGCACGCGGGGTTCAACAAGTACGACGCGATCGTCTCGGCCTGCTCGAGCACCAACGGTGTCGGACTCAGCGAGCAGTATCCTTGCGGATGCGGCATTGAAATCTGCGATTTCGGGTACAGGTGTGACGAGCAGTGCGCTGGGAGCAACACCGTTATCGATCCCTACCTAGGCAGCGGCTTCGGAGACGGCGGGTGCTGCATTGGACCCCCAGCCTCTCCGTTGCCGACCCCGGCCCCGACGGTGTCGGCCAAGGGTGACCCGCACCTGGTCAATCTTCAAGGCGAGCATTTCGACGTCAACCACGGCGGCGAGTTCACTCTGCTGCGCATCCCGCAGGCCGCTGACAGGACCGCCGAGGTGGAGCTCCAGGCCACCATCCGCCCCGAGCACGGGAAGCCATGCACCACGTACATCACTGCGGTTGAGCTCTCGGGTGCTTGGTTCGGCGGTATCGTCGTGCAGGTGCGCTCCTACCTGCGGTCGCACTCCAAGAACGAAAGCGACTCGTTCTTGGGCCTCCGAGTGATTGAGCGGGGCGCATCTCGCGAAGCTCCCTGGTCGAGACTCGAGGACTGGGCCGATGGGAAGACCGCCCTGTTCGAGCAGCAGGCCCGAGATGGCGTCACGGTGACAATGTCCAAGTCGCAGTGGCGCACCAAGAAGGGCGTGAAGGAGGGATTGCCGACCATAGCTGGGGAACTTCAGGTCATGATGCAGAACAAGATGAGCGATACCTCCGCCATGATCATCGTCCGTCAAGACCTACCATTGCAGGAGCATCTGAATTTGGCTGTGCGGCGCTTGAGCGCACTCGGGCGTGCAGACATTGGTGGCCTGCTTGGGTTTGATGCGCATGCCGAGTCGCTGGAGGATGTCACACCTGAGTGCCAGCGTCATAGGGACGGGTTGGACAAGAAGGCGGGCCCCAAGGCTGTGCCGAGCTGGAAGGTGAGATGGCAGAAGATCAAAGAGCAGCGCGCCAGCAGTCGTGCACCTGGCGGGTCGATCAACGACAACGAGGCGGGGGCCAGCCTCGTCAACAGGGACATGATGTGCATCTGCTCCGACGCGGAGCCGAGTGACGTCACGGAGGAGACCGACCGCTCCATGAACTCCGCCAGCTTGATCGGCGCAGGGCGCGACGGAGTCCTCGCAGAGTTCCGCACGGCCCGGCTTGCCGAGGCAACGTGGGATTGATGGCGGTCTGTGCGGTGTCTTGGGCGCGTCCGCCGAGCCGCCCGCCCTCGGGACGCACCGCTGACAGGCCCGCCCGCCGACCACCCGCCCCCGCTCGCCTCCGCCCCTGCGGGGCCCCCTTCCGCTCGCGGCCGCAGCGGCCTCCGGGGGGCGAGGCCCTGGAGGAGAGATGTCCCCACAGGATTCCCACCGCGGCTGGGTCACCGTTAACATGTGTATTATGCAAGTTTTCAGTTTTTCGGCCAGCGGGTCCGCCGATTGGGCGGATCCGCGGGCCGAGCTTCCGCAGGGAGAGGAGATGGAGGTGGAGTGGGGGGGGAGCAGAAGGAGGAGGAGGGTCACTGTGGAAGCAGGCGCACCGTTAGCTCTGCCGCGCGCGCACGTTTTGCGAACCTTGGCGCGAGCGGGGTCCACACGTCGAGCTTTTGATCCTAATGGCTTGCTGCTCGAATCCATTTTGACTTGGCTGCCATAGGTCGGTCTCAGTAAAACAAATGATGATGCTGATGATGATCGTGATGATGATAAGGATGATAATGCTGGTGATGATGATGCTGATGATGTCGATGATGATGCTGATGACGATGATGGTGGTGATGATGATGCTGATGACGGTGATGATGATGATGACGATGGTGGTGGTGATGGTGACGATGATGCTGGTGGCGATGGTGATGGTGATGGTGATTGTGATGGTGATGAGGATGATGCTGATGATGACGGCGATGATGATGATGCTGCTGATGATGCTGACGATGATGATGATGATGATGATGATGATGATGATGATGATGATGATGATGATGATGATGGTGGCGATGATGAGGATGATGCTGATGACGATGGTGATGATGATGATGATGATTCTGATTTTGTGACGGATGACATTGATAACGACGATGATGATGCTTATAATGATTCTGAGGATGATGGTGATGATGATGATGGTGATGGTGATGATGATGATGATGATGATGATGATGATGATGATGATGATGATTCTGGTGATGATGCTGATGATGATGGTGTTGTTGGTGGTGGTGGTGATGGTGGTGATGATGATGATCATGATGACGATGGTGTTGATGATGATGTTGTTGTTGATGATGCTGCTGCTGTTGATGACGATGACGATGATGATGATGCTGATGATGCTGCTGATGATGGTGAGGATGCTGATGCTGTTGATGATGATGCTGACGCTGATGATGGTGATGCCGCTGCTGATGTGATGATATTGATGATAAGGATGATGATGTTGTTGATGTTGTTGATGATGACGCTGCTGATGATGCTGCTGCTGATGATGATGCTGCTGCTGATGATGATGATGATGATGATTCTGAGAAGGATGATGAGGAGGAGGATATGATGATGAGGAGGAGGAGGAGGAGGGCGGGGAGTAGGAGGAGGAGGAAGCGGCGCATCTCCACGCAGCCTTCCCTCGTTTCCCTCCCCCTTCCCTGGAGCAGGGCGGGGAAGATCACAACGAGGAGGATAGTGAGAGGTAAGGGGGAGGCAGAGAAGACAACCAATCACCACGGGATCATTGAGCCAGAGCAACTTACCGAAGTCCTCGGGCACCCACGGAGGCCCGAAACTTGCCCTTATGAGTTCTGGCACAGGGAGGAGGAGGAGGAGGAGGAGGAGGAGGAGGAGGAGGAGGAGGAAGAGGAGGAGGAGGAAGACGAGGAGGAGGAGGCGGAGGAGGAGGAGGAGGAGGAGGAGGAGGAGGAGGGCCAGTGGAAACCCAAGAGTCATCAACGATGTTGGAATCAACCCTCCCTCCCGGCTCCCTCTTCGTGGGCCCCTACGGCGGTTCATCCCCGCTGGGGAAACTGCCTCGTTGGGGGACACCCGTTGGAAGACCCGGTAGCATGTCAAAACAATGTTCTCGGGATTCCGACGCCACAGATCAACCTGGCTGTTGCGTCTTGACGATCTTGGGTTGTGCCGGGACACCATTCCTGAGATTTCGACAGCGAATCAACGTTATTGTTGCGCCCTCAATCCTGAATCCCCCCCAAAAAAAAGACACCATGTTCGGTATGTCGAACACAGGAATCCGTAAAAGTCTTGCAAATTTTGAAAATAAATGTGCGCGGAGCTAAGTCGAGAGTCACATTTTGAAAAGGATTAGTCGCATGCGTGCGCGAGAGGCCCGATTAGTCGCATGTGATGAACATGGTGGAGCACATACAGTCTGCGAAAGCATTTGCGACAGCGCGCGTGATTTTCGTCGTTGCGGTTGTTTTTGGTGTTGTCTATGAAGCATCATTTGCTCAACCATTGGTTTTTTGGTTCATATTTTTGGGGCCCAGATCTTGGAATACTCACTAAACTTATGCCTTAAACCAGGGTTCTGGCATGCGCGCGCGCGACGTCGCGCGTGTGTGATTTGGTTTCGTTTCTCACTGTTGAATTTTGATCAACGGGTGTGCGCGCGTAGTATTACTTGTACAGATGAGGGGAGCGCGATTGAGGGTTCAGCGGGGATGTGGCGAACTCGTATTGAGAGTGAACGATGGGGCTGGTTCGTATGTGAACCGTACTAGCCCAGGGAGGGCCGATAAAAGGCGTCTGTGCGTGGTAGATCCTAAGTTCAGCCGCCAGACCGACCGTCGGGCCCAGGCGGCGGAGGGCGATGAGGCGGCGACGGGGCGGCGGCGGCAACTACATAGCCACCAGACCGGCCCGCAGGCTCACACCACGGGCGGCGACGAGGCGGCGACAGCAACCACATAGCCGCCAGGTCGGCCCGCAGGCTCAGACTACGGGCGGCGACGAGGCGGCTACGATGCGGCGACGGCAACTACATAGCTGCCAGACCGGCCCGCAAGAACCCATGCGTGCAAACACGGTTTGGGAATTCTTTCTGAGTTCCTCCCGTCATCCTTCCTCCCTCTGTTGCCTCCCTCCACTATTCAAGCCCCCCTCTGTCTCTGTCTAGCACATACATGTACTTCGATACCCTTCTCTATGTCTTTCTGTGCTCCCCTCACATCTCTCTCTCTCTCTCTCTCTTCTCCCATTGATCTCTAACTATTTTCCCTTCTCTTTCCCTTTCTCGGTGAGCAGGGGGAGTGGGCGGAAGAGGGTCAGGATGTGTATGATGATGCAGCGGATGATGCCGCTGATGCTGATGCAAATGCTGATGCTGATGGTGATATTGATGATGATGCTGCTGCTGCTGCTGATGATGATGGTGATGGTGACGGTGATGGTCATGGCGATGATGATGATGATGATGATGATGATGATGATGATGATGATGATGATGATGATGATGATGATGATGGTGCTTATGGTGATGATACTGATGGTGCTTATGGTGATGATGATGATGGTGGTGCTGATGATGCTAATCATGAGGATCATGACGTTGCTGCTGATGATGATGACGACGATGGTATTGATGCTGATGATGATGATTTTGGTGATGACGATGCTGCTGATGACGATGATGATGCTACTGATGATGATGATGGTGATGATGATGATGATGCTGCTGCTGATGATGATGATGATGATGCTGATGATGATGATGATGATGATGATGATGATGATGATGATGATGATGATGTCCGGAGCCCATTTGGGCTCAAGCAAAACGAACAGGTCCGTAAAGCTGCCGATATCGAACTGCGCTTTCATCAACATATTGCGTACAGCTTCCACCTCCAGAGCACGAATGGCGGATTTCCATGTGGCATTATGCATGATGGGGTTTGTAGCTGCTGTTTCCAGCGAGCACGCAGACATGCAGCTTATGCAGATGCAACAGGCTGGCGTGTTGCACGGCAGTGGAATCTGGATGCCGCAGCAGGGTTGCCACACCTCGGTTGAGGGTGATGAGTGTTTCGACAAGGTCATGTGGGCGATGCGGACGGGCATCCAGCAGCACCCAGAGTACTATCGCCCTCTGACGAGAAATTCCAGCTTCGAGGACTTCCAGCAACACTTGCACGGCACAGCCAGGCTCTCCGGCGTGTGCCCCAAGCCATGTGCAGCGCCGAAGTCAGAGGAGCAAGCGCCTGCACCGGCAGCGGAGTGCCGCACCAGCGTCACGGGCGACGAGTGTTTCGACAAGGTCATGTGGGCGATGCGGACGGGCATCCAGCAGCACCCAGAGTACTATCGCCCTCTGACGAGAAATTCCAGCTTCGAGGACTTCCAGCAACACTTGCACGGCACAGCCAGGCTCTCCGGCGTGTGCCCCAAGCCATGTGCAGCACCGAAGTCAGAGGAGCAAGCGCTTGCACCGGCAGCGGAGTGCCGCACCAGCGTCACGGGCGACGAGTGTTTCGACAAGGTCATGTGGGCGATGCGGACGGGCATCCAGCAGCACCCAGAGTACTATCGCCCTCTGACGAGAAATTCCAGCTTCGAGGACTTCCAGCAACACCTGCACGGCACAGCCAGGCTCGCCGGCGTGTGCCCCAAGCCATGTGCAGCTGCAGCGCCGAAGTCACAGCAGCGAGCTGAGCAGCAGGTCGGAACTCCAGCGCCAACAGTAATCCAATTGGATGACCTACTCGTTTCAACCTACCCTGGATACGTGCAAAGCGGCCAAAATTGCGAGTGCGGAGCAGAGATCAAAGCCTATTCGGAAGAGTTCGAGACTCTCGAGTTATGTGCCTCGGAGTGTTCCTTGTACCCAAACTGCAAGTCCATTGGTCTTCACCCCTTCCTGTCAGTCTGGAAAGGCGGGTGCTATCTTTACGATGCAGAGTGTGGGTCAACGAATGGGCATGACTCCAACACCACCTGTGCCAATCCAATCCCGCAAGGAGCCCTTAGTGTCAACTTCAACAGGATACCGACCCCTGCGCCCACTCCTGCACCTACGTCTTCAGTTGAGCCGTGCGACGTCACCGATGGATCGTCTCCGAGCTCTTTCTACCCGTGTCAGTGCGGGCCTGACATGTGCGTTACAAACGAGGTCTGCTCAGGTGACAGGCGAGGCTTTTCGTGTTCTCCTCCGGGCATTCTGAAGGTAGAGTGGCCGTGCCTGACGACTTCTATCGGCAGCCCTTACTTCGTGTTTTACGGGAGCAGTGCAAGCGGAGCGCCAGTGTACAGCAACACCGACGGCAATTACATATATTGGGACTATTCGTGTGATGCTCGACCGGCCTTGAATACCACAGCCGCGGTTGGATTCTGGACTCTGAAGAACCAAACATGACAGCAACTATGGATTTAGATTCTGATGCGGGCTGCGCTTATTTCGGGCATCATGGTAGTTCAGATTCTAATGGTGTCCCATTGGGGAACACAACTTGGTTGGTGGCATGCGACGGCCAAGGCCTCAACATGACGGTGACGATCACTTACGAGGAGATCCTCCCGACTCCGTCGCCGACGATGGAGCCCGGGGCACCGTGCGTTTGTGACGACGCGTGCGGCTCGTTTTCTTACCTTGATTTGGATGGTGATGAGTGCCTTGTGGAAGCGGAGGTGAACAAGGACGATAATCTCAACGGGCACTTTACCGAGATGGACGAGAACGGGGATGGATGCGTGACCCAGGCAGAGTGTGGCAATTCTCCATACTCGAAAGACATGTCTAGGTTCCCAATCGGGGGTCCCGCTGAGTGTGACTACGGATACTACTTTCTGGAGGGCACCAGCGTCTGCCAGCAGTGCACCACGGGCTCCACTCGGCGACGCCGCTCGGAGGCATGCACTGACTGCGCCCCTGGCAAAGAAGACCTGGGCGACTTCGACAACTGCATCTCGGGGGTATGGCTCACCGAGCCCATATCAACTGGGTCCGACGTCGTCTTCGTCAACAAGGCCCTCGACGACAGCGGCCGCGTGCTGCAGAAGGGCGACGGGATCACCATGTCCACACGCAACCCTGGGCACTTCGAGAGACTGGTCATCACCGACAAGATCGGCTTCGATGACAGCGAGAGGCTGTCGCCATACCACGAGTCTCTGCTCCGCAGAGGTGGGCCCTTCTTTATCCTCGACCACGGAGTGCACGCGGGGTTCAACAAGTACGACGCGATCGTCTCGGCCTGCTCGAGCACCAACGGTGTCGGACTCAGCGAGCAGTATCCTTGCGGATGCGGCATTGAAATCTGCGATTTCGGGTACAGGTGTGACGAGCAGTGCGCTGGGAGCAACACCGTTATCGATCCCTACCTAGGCAGCGGCTTCGGAGACGGCGGGTGCTGCATTGGACCCCCAGCCTCTCCGTTGCCGACCCCGGCCCCGACGGTGTCGGCCAAGGGTGACCCGCACCTGGTCAATCTTCAAGGCGAGCATTTCGACGTCAACCACGGCGGCGAGTTCACTCTGCTGCGCATCCCGCAGGCCGCTGACAGGACCGCCGAGGTGGAGCTCCAGGCCACCATCCGCCCCGAGCACGGGAAGCCATGCACCACGTACATCACTGCGGTTGAGCTCTCCGGTGCTTGGTTCGGCGGTATCGTCGTGCAGGTGCGCTCCTACCTGCGGTCGCACTCCAAGAACGAACGCGACTCGTTCTTGGGCCTCCGAGTGATTGAGCGGGGCGCATCTCGCGAAGCTCCCTGGTCGAGACTCGAGGACTGGGCCGATGGGAAGACCGCCCTGTTCGAGCAGCAGGCCCGAGATGGCGTCACGGTGACAATGTCCAAGTCGCAGTGGCGCACCAAGAAGGGCGTGAAGGAGGGATTGCCGACCATAGCTGGGGAACTTCAGGTCATGATGCAGAACAAGATGAGCGATACCTCCGCCATGATCATCGTCCGTCAAGAACCTACCATTGCAGGATATTAGTGAATTTGGCTGTGCGTCGCAATTTGGCTGTGCGTGGCATACATTGGTGGCCTGCTTGGGTTTGATGCGCATGCCGAGTCGTGGGAGGATGTCACACCTGAGTGCCAGCGTCCATAGGGACGGGTTGGACGGCACCACTAGAAGGCGGGCCCCAAGGCTGTGCCGAGCTGGAAGGTGAGATGGCAGAAGATCAAAGAGCAGCGCGCCAGCAGTCGTGCACCTGGCGGGTCGATCAACGACAACGAGGCGGGGGCCAGCCTCGTCAACAGGGACATGATGTGCATCTGCTCCGACGCGGAGCCGAGTGACGTCACGGAGGAGACCGACCGCTCCATGAACTCCGCCAGCTTGATCGGCGCAGGGCGCGACGGAGTCCTCGCAGAGTTCCGCACGGCCCGGCTTGCCGAGGCAACGTGGGATTGATGGCGGTCTGTGCGGTGTCTTGGGCGCGTCCGCCGAGCCGCCCGCCCTCGGGACGCACCGCTGACAGGCCCGCCCGCCGACCACCCGCCCCCGCTCGCCTCCGCCCCTGCGGGGCCCCCTTCCGCTCGCGGCCGCAGCGGCCTCCGGGGGGCGAGGCCCTGGAGGAGAGATGTCTCCACAGGATTCCCACCGCGGCTGGGTCACCGTTAACATGTGTATTATGCAAGTTTTCAGTTTTTCGGCAAGCGGGTCCGCCGATTGGGCGGATCCGCGGGCCGAGCTTCCGCAGGGAGAGGAGATGGAGGTGGAGTGGGGGGGGAGCAGAAGGAGGAGGAGGGTCACTGTGGAAGCAGGCGCACCGTTAGCTCTGCCGCGCGCGCACGTTTTGCGAACCTTGGCGCGAGCGGGGTCCACACGTCGAGCTTTTGATCCTAATGGCTTGCTGCTCGAATCCATTTTGACTTGGCTGCCATAGGTCGGTCTCAGTAAAACAAATGATGATGCTGATGATGATCGTGATGATGATAAGGATGATAATGCTGGTGATGATGATGCTGATGATGTCGATGATGATGCTGATGACGATGATGGTGGTGATGATGATGCTGATGACGGTGATGATGATGATGACGATGGTGGTGGTGATGGTGACGATGATGCTGGTGGCGATGGTGATGGTGATGGTGATTGTGATGGTGATGAGGATGATGCTGATGATGACGGCGATGATGATGATGCTGCTGATGATGCTGACGATGATGATGATGATGATGATGATGATGATGATGATGATGATGATGATGATGAGGATGATGCTGATGACGATGGATGATGATGATGATGATGATGATTCTGATTTTGTGACGGATGACATTGATAACGACGATGATGATGCTTATAATGATTCTGAGGATGATGGTGATGATGATGATGGTGATGGTGATGATGATGATGATGATGATGATGATGATGATGATTCTGGTGATGATGCTGATGATGATGGTGTTGTTGGTGGTGGTGGTGATGGTGGTGATGATGATGGTCATGATGACGATGGTGTTGATGATGATGATGTTGTTGATGATGCTGCTGCTGTTGATGACGATGACGATGATGATGATGCTGATGATGCTGCTGATGATGGTGAGGATGCTGATGCTGTTGATGATGATGCTGACGCTGATGATGTTGATGCCGCTGCTGATGTGATGATATTGATGATAAGGATGATGATGTTGTTGATGTTGTTGATGATGACGCTGCTGATGATGCTGCTGCTGCTGATGATGATGCTGCTGCTGATGATGATGATGATGATTCTGAGAAGGATGATGAGGAGGAGGATATGATGATGAGGAGGAGGAGGAGGGCGGGGAGTAGGAGGAGGAGGAAGCGGCGCATCTCCACGCAGCCTTCCCTCGTTTCCCTCCCCCTTCCCTGGAGCAGGGCGGGGAAGATCACAACGAGGAGGATAGTGAGAGGTAAGGGGGAGGCAGAGAAGACAACCAATCACCACGGGATCATTGAGCCCCCTCCCAACTCAGAATTCCTCGGGCATCCACGAGGGCCGAAACTTGCCCTTATTAGGCAGCATGGCACAGGGAGGAGGAGGATGAGGAGGAGGAGGCTGAGTAGGAGAGGAAGAGGGTATGAGGAAGACGAGGAGGAGGAGGAGGCGGAGGAGGAGGAGGAGGAGGAGGAGGAGGAGGGCCAGTGGAAACCCAAGAGTCATCAACGATGTTGGAATCAACCCTCCCTCCCGGCTCCCTCTTCGTGGGCCCCTACGGCGGTTCATCCCCGCTGGGGAAACTGCCTCGTTGGGGGACACCCGTTGGAAGACCCGGTAGCATGTCAAAACAATGTTCTCGGGATTCCGACGCCACAGATCAACCTGGCTGTTGCGTCTTGACGATCTTGGGTTGTGCCGGGACACCATTCCTGAGATTTCGACAGCGAATCAACGTTATTGTTGCGCCCTCAATCCTGAATCCCCCCCAAAAAAAAGACACCATGTTCGGTATGTCGAACACAGGAATCCGTAAAAGTCTTGCAAATTTTGAAAATAAATGTGCGCGGAGCTAAGTCGAGAGTCACATTTTGAAAAGGAGCCGCCCTCAATCCGTGAAGCTCTGGCAAATTTTTGAACGAATGTGCGCGGCACGAAGGCGAGAGCCACATTTTGAAAACCACCCGCCCTCAATCCGAGAAATACTTTTTGCACATTTTTAAGACGAAAATGCGCGGCGCTAAGGCGGGAGCCACATTTTGAAAGCCACCCGCCCTCAATCCGAGAAACACTTTTTTTCATTTTTTCAAGGCGAGTCTGCGCGGCGCTAAGGCGAGAGCCACATTTTGAAAACCACCCGCCCTCTGTTTGTGAAACTGTTGTCGGTTTAAGAGTTCCGGGGTCTTGAATGGTGAGGAGGTCTGATGCGAAAGGCTCGGCCCGCCCGAAAACTTAGCCTCGGGGTGCGACAGGGAGAAGGAATGCAGGAGGAGGGTGAGGAGGAGAAGGAGGATGATGAGGACCAGCATAAGTTCAAGAGTCATCAACGATGTTGGGGTGAACCCTCCCTCCAAGCTCCCTTTTCGTAGGCCCTTACGACGGTTCATTTCCATTGATGGAACTGCCTCGCTGGAAGACACCCGTTTGAAGATCCTGAAGCATGCCAAAACATTGTTCTCGGGATTCCAACGCCACGGATCAACCTGACTGGTGCGTCTTGACGATCCTGGATCGTGCCAGAACGCAATTCCTAGGACTTCAGCACAAAGAATCAACGTAACTGCTGCGCCCGCATAATCCTGAATCCAAAACACCATTGCTGATACATTGTTGATGGGAATCCGTGACGCTTTTGAAAATGTTGTACACGAATGTGCGCG